TTTAAATCAAATTAAAGCAAGCTTGTTTTTGAGTACAAAAAAAAAGCTGACCCCAACTTGTTCCCCAAACGGGGCTAGAGCCCCCCCCCCCCCCCCCCCCTCTCCAAGTAGGTTAGTGATCCACATGCCTTAACATTTCAAGGCAGAGAATACATTTAGATCCCAACACTAGAATTTATGAGATGCCACTGAGGTTTTAGATAGAGTCATTATCTGGTCAGGAAAAGCCAGGCATGGGTGAGTTCAAGGCATGGGCAGGAATTCCAAACAAGTTTAGAAGTCGCAGTAATTTATAGTAAAACAGAAAACAACTTTTCATGACTTTGTGATGAGGCTCCCAATCTTGAGATGGAATTGGGCTGGGTCCATCACTTTGCCTCTTTCCTGTACATTTACCCTTTTGGGCCTTCTCTGTAACAATGGATCTGGGTTCTTTAAATATTTTCCTTTGCCAGCTAACGCAATATTAAATCTTGTCAGTAGAGGGCAAGCCTTTGGCTCCTGAGTCTGTACCTGCTCTCCAGCACTCCTTCCCTGTAGGGCACAGGGCTTCTCCCCACCCCCACCCCCACCCCCACCCCTTGCAGGCTCCTGCAGCACGGTAGCATGTTCAGAATCAAGCTTCTGCAGAGCACCTTGCTTTTCAAGCTCCCATCTCCTTCAGTATACAGGAGTCAGGAGCACCCAACAGCTGCTTTTCCTGGAGTGTAGTTTTTATAGTGGATTGCTTCTGGTGAAATACCATCATATAATCAGCTTTTTCTGACACTCTAAATGGTAGAAGTCTTACTCTTTTTTTTTTTTTTTTTTTATGTGTGGCTATAACATAATACTGGAGGCTGGGTAACTTATAAAGAGATTTATTTGGCTCACAATTCTGATGTTGGAGGGTCGAAATACCAGGGCACCAGCATCCTGGTGTAGGCCTCTGGATGCATCACCGCAGAAGGGGCATGTTTGGGGGCAAGGAAGCTAGGGTTGGGGTATGTCTAGACTCACTCCTTTTATTACAACTCCCTGTTGAGGAGCTTAGCCACTCCCACTAGCTAAGCTACTCCCACAAGACAGCATGAACCCATTCCCCAAGGTGGAGCCCCCATGACAAAATTACCGTCCACCAGGCCCCACCTCTTAAAGCTTCTACCACCTCTCAACATCACCACACTGGGGGCCACACTTCCAGCATGTGAAACATTTGGGGACAGGTCATACCCAAACCAGAGCTGAAGATTTCTGGTCATGCCCAGGGGGCAGTGTCACAGAAACTCTTTGTTTCAGTAACTCATAGCCGTGTCCTCACCAACCAGGACTTGACCTTGGTAATAAGCCAGGAGTGGTGAATGGTGTCCCGTGGATACTCCATCTCAGCTATAGGGATTAGCACCTAACATTTGTGTATCCGATATTCTTTAAAAGTCTCTTTACTTTTTACCAACCATTCCCATATCATTTCTATACTAATTGTAATCAATAGTTCTTTATAGGAAATTCTACCTGTTCAAATGTCTCTCTTGACTGAGTTCATACTAATATAGCGTGCACTATTTGAAGGCAGTGTAGTATAATGGTCAAGAGAAAAGTCCATCTGGTTTTAAATCCCATCCATCAATTATTTGGCTTTCATCAAGTTACATAATCAGTATGTGTTTCAGAGTCCTTATCTGTGGAATGTAGATAAATACAGTTTAATTGACTAGGGTTGCTATTCATGATAACTTATTTGAATAAGTTGTGATAGGTAATTCTCGTAGACCACTGTTTTGTGTAGAGTAATACATAGCTATTATTGGCCTTGGGAGATAGCAATTTTTGTGAGGCTTCTTGTGATTTCCTACATGTAGATATTCCATGAGTTCTCATCGCTGTGGTCATTCCAGGGTACAGGATCTGGGTTTCAGTGATCTGGGACCCTACGCATTCTTTCTTCTCGTCTATTAGGCAGGAGAGTTCCTTTCTGGTTGGTGGGACAGGCACGGCCATTGTCACTAACTATCTCTTCTGTTGTAAATGTTCTCTAAATGATCCCATCACATCCCTTCTTTCAGTCCTTCTGTCCTACGCCCAATTATCCTAAGTGCTTAAGTTCCTTAAGCATAGCATGCTTGGTGCTTTCAGCCTCTACCCTACCACGTTAGACAAGGAGAGAAAGAGAAATTTGGGGCAAAAAGGGAAGAAAAGCAGCAAACATAATTTAGCATTAAAATATTATCAATCATTATTTTGATTAATGGGTTTAATAATTAGTGCTGACAGAGTGAAACAAGATGAATAATTTCAGGTGATTCTTATGTATGGCCAAGACACCTTGTTCAAAATGAATAAAAATTATGGAGGGATAAGAGTGAGTCAAAGGGATCTATTTTAATAACAGAACTGTGTATAAATTTGTCACAGAACTTAGGAAGAAGGGCTCGATCCCAATGTGAAGGTAAAATCCGTGGCGGCAACACACTTGCATGTCCCGAAGAATTCTCTTCAGTCAGGTGCTTCCACCAAGTGCAAAAGTATGTTAAAGACTTAGCTGGAGACGTGATTTCAGGAGTAGCACTGCGGAAAACACAGCACTTCAGCAAGAGTTGAGTTATGCTGAAATATGCGTCAGTTTCTGAGATTCTGAGTCCAACATGATGAACTCTCAGAGGTTTTGAGTGGCTCATGTGGCACAACTTAACATTCTCTTTTGGCCAAATCAGACCTAGTGGAGTTTAAAATCTGGTAAATATGCCTTAAAATATGTTGATTCTATCCTCTTTCTGCAACAAATGTGTGTGTGTGTGTGTGTGTGTGTGTGTGTGTGTGTTGGCTCCACAACTTCACACACAAAGGAAAGGAAACTATCAATGAGATTCTTTACACACAGCAACTTGCTTAAGTTCAACGAAATAGTGGTGTGTAGAAAAGCCCCTCGGTGGCCGCAGGAGGAGGGATAAACATGCCCTCCCAAGTTGTCCATGTCTTATCCCTGGAACCTGTGAGCACATCATCTTATGTGACAAAGGTGGAATTAAGGCTGCTAGTCAGCTGAATTTAAAATAGCTCACCTTGGATTACGCAGGTGGACCCAAAGTAATTGCAAGAATCCTAGAAAATGAAACAGAAAGTCAGGAGCTAAGTTCAGAAAGGACTCAACCCAGGAGTGCTGAAAGGTGGGGAAGGGAGCAACTGTTCTTGGAAGCAGGCCACCCTAGCTGGAAGAAAGGCAGAGGATGGGAAGCAGAGGGCCTCCGGGAGATCTGGGCCCCATGGACACCTTGATTTTGGCCCATGGAGATCCCTGTCAAACTTGTAATTCCCAGGCCTGACAGATGATAAAACTGTATGGCTTTAAGCCACTAAGTCTGTGGTAATTGGTTAAGCAGCCATAGGAAGCCACGTGGTGGTTTACAAGGTGGAAGGAAATGCTCCATGGTTGTGCTCAGGGAAAGCCGGGTGGGGTGGGGGGCTAGAGAACTGGTGGTAGCTATGAGGGCCTGGCAGACCCCAAGCACTGCCTTTGAAAGGGATGCAAAAGAAATGACCTTCCATCTGGGCTTCACTTTGTTCATGATTCAGGCTTTCGGCGAGTCCGATTTGGGGAAATTTGATTGCACATGCTACCCTTTTTTTGGTGAGGGGGACTCCACAGATTGCGTGGAAGGAGGAAGCTGGGAGAGGGAAGGAGTCTCCTCAGATGCACAGGGAGGGCTGCAGGCTGGGCAAAAGCAGCGGGTGTGACCGAGTCCCCCCACCCTACCCCAGGAGCTCATCCAGACAAAAAGGGGATAGAATGGCTGAGAACCAGACAGTGATCAAGGGATGGTAAGGAACATGATTTAAAAACAAATGTTGCGTTTGCTAGTCTTGCTTTATTATTGATTGAACACTCAGCAAGGATCCCTGTGAGAAAAAGAGATTTGAGAAAAAAGAAAAAAAGGAAAAGAGAGGGAAAGAGAGGAGGAGATGGGGGCGCAGAGAGAACAAACGATCCAAACAGAAGGCTTAGTGATCCTGGGGTACGGTGCCCCTGATTCTAGGTTGGTTCCCCAAAGGCAGGCAGCACGGGTTGCCGTCCAAACACCTCCCTGCGTAGACTTCGGTTGAGATGCAGTTATGTCGGCAGGATCCGTTGGGGCGCTCACAGATTTCCTTGAATCTGCCCCTGACTGCACACAGAGGAGGATTGTTTTAATCATTTATTGTTCTTCTGAGTTTTTATTAAGTTCAAGGGGGTGAGAGGGCAGGGTCTGGGAACAGTTTTGTGTAGACATTTCTTGTTATTTGATTTCTTACACCAATACTTAAAAATCTGGTGTCACATAAAACTTTGGAAACTTCTCTCAAAAAAATCTGGCAACCTTGGGTGCACGGAGTAGCAGAAAGCTACAGCTGAGTGGCCCTCCTGCCTTTATGGGCCCTGGGCACGCACACTGCACTCAGTTCACTCATCTGACTTTCCTATCTCCTGACTCTGATGGAAGACCTGGAGCAGTCCTGCTTAATATTACTTTTAGTACCACCAAATTTTCTAGCGTAGAAGAAAGGTTTTAGAGAAAAGGAATAGGACCCAAGACATGTCCTATTGAAAACATTGAATAGCATTTGTTTTGTGTCCTAAGATATTGCTGTGCTGGCGGTGGGTCACACAGAATATATGATATGTCATAATATCACATCTATCTATCTGTCTCTGTCTACCTGTGCATCTTTGAAAAGGGGAACTGAAAAATAGATCTAAAAGATAGTAAGAAAATATACTTCGATGAAATTGGTAACAGGCTCTTTCCCTGGGAGCTGGCACCATATTCCTGCGTATGTAGCACACAGTTGTGCCTCAGCCTGGTGCTTCCTTCACCCCCCTCAGCCCCCTGGGGCTGGAGGCTGCAGTGCTGCTCTGGAGCCTTCGCCTGCATTGGGAGTGAGACATTCAAATGTACTTGTTCAAGACATTGAGTAGTATGTGATTTATGACCTGAGATATTCCTGTTCAGAAAAAATGTGGAGGGGGGGGGGGTGGATATCACTGTCCCAGGGGTGGGTTATGGGGATGGGTCACACACACTGATGTGCTCAGTTTAAAAAGTAGCTTAATTTGGAGCTGCCTCCTGTGTGTGTAACACAGCAGCTTTTCCAGGAAGAGGGGTAGCAAACTAAAACTTTCAGGATTTTGTTGTTGTTGTTGTTGTGTGTGTTCCCAAATACAAAGGCCAATTCTTGAATCTAGTATATATTAAATAAATGTCTACTGAATTGAACTGGACTGAACTGAAACCCAGGTGCATTAAATTGACTTAAACTCTTCAATGTTCATACAACAAATTGGTGAATGGATGTAAAGAACAAATAGGCAACATCGTATTTTTCCTAAAATGTGAACTGGGAAACAATTTTAATGGTGTAGGTTTCAGAAAAAAAATAAAAACTGATGGTCATTCTAAGTGTTGAGCACTATATAGAAACCGGCAGAAATCTGGGCTCTTGGATTCCTGACCTGTGCACCTTGTCTTCACTAGTCAGCCGTGATAGAGGGAGGCTTCCGTTAGCCTTAGGCGAAAAGCAGCCTACTGTACCCAGGTCTGTCTATGGCTGAAGATGAAGCCAGGGATCCCTGACAGGCCCCGGAGCGTGCTGAACCTCCTGCGCGCCCTCTGCTGGCCCTTCTTGCCCTCTACCACGGCTGCGGTTCCCTGCTCTCGCCTTACTCGCCTGTGAAGGATCCCTTTAGGGCAGGACTCTCATCTTGTTCTTCTCTGTATATGTATCCCAGAATCGATCACAGAGAAATGCTCGTATAGACGCTTCCTCT